TGAAACCATTATAATGAAAATTACTTAGAAGTATTAGAGATACTCTAATATTTATTGTGGGGTATTCTGAAAACCTCTTTGGCTCAATTGCATTTGATTTGATGAATTGATATGTATAAGGAATAACCGTAAAAATTGACAAAATTTATTCCCGGAGTAAATCCAAAACTCCTAGAAACGGGAAAACCCGGAAAATTTCAAATCGCATTTCTTGGTCACCTTGTGCTGTATCCATTTCAGTAGGTATTAGGTCTGTCCACATATGTACTTACTTGTATATATTTGCTGTAAGTTGCTGTAAGTAACACATATGCTGCAGAAAGTTTGGGAACATGCCCTTGCTTTTTGCTGTATATAACAGAAAAGCAAGTACAGGACCAGACCTATTATCGAACAAGTAGTTTTCGAACAAAAGTTGGCCATGTAAGCGTGTCAGTTATGGCACTAGTACTCCAGGTCAAATATGAAAAAAATCCTGATTTTACTAGGTGGGGTGAAAAGTAACCTCTTTGGGAATGATTTTTTTTTTATATGTTTTTTTTTATTCAATATAGTCCGTTTTTAGCTCGATACACTTATTCCAGCGATTTTCCAACTTCATGATCCCGTACGAAAAGTAATTTTCCGGAAGGTCTGCAAAATACTCCTCCGCGGCGTCGATGATTTCCTCACGTGAGCTGATTTCTTTTATTGATGAGCCATCTATTGAGGTTTGAGAAGAGATAATAGTCTGAGGGAGCCAAATCGGGCGAATACGGTGGATGCGGAAGCAATTGGAGCCGTAAAGTCATTGATTTCAGCCGTGGTTGCGATGTTCTTGTGCGCCGGCGCATTGTCTTGCAAAAACATTTTTTTTTTCGCTTCATGTGCGGTCGTTTTGCAGCGATTTAGGCTTTCAATCGCACCAATAATGCACAGTAATAGGTCTTTTTTTACACGAGGAATAGGGTATACGTCCCTAACCTCGGTCTAATATGCAGCCATCGATTACGTTTTTAATCATAACTCATCAATGAATTTACCTGCAAACGATATTCTACTGCTAAATGGTATGCTTAGATATGCTTATCATGTCGTTTGCTATCAGAAACCACGAAAAGTTGAAAAACTTACTTTTTTTAAGACAATAACTCACGAGGGAAATGTATGTAATATGGGTCTATTGTCCCCAAATTGGGTCTATTTATGGATGCAACTTCGTCCTATCTTGTTTGATCCTCAAAAAAACGCTCTTGGTAACGTTTTCTGATGTATTTTTTTTTATCACTATCACTGTTAACTTAATGCTCTTCATTCCTCAAAACATTTCTTAGAGAAAATTTTACGAAAACTACATTAAATCACTCAATTTAAAAATTAAAAATTAAAAATTTCGCTTATCGTCTTTTGACCGCAGAATATCTAAATCAGAACATTGTGATGTTCATTATACAGGTTTGGCAGAAAAAATCTCCCTTCCTGTTCGTTCCTTATCATCCAAATGCAAAACAACATTGTTGACGTTACTCTTATTGCTATATGCTGTCAAATGAATTTCATGGGCCATAGTTAGGAACATAGAAAAGAAATGTGTCCCTAAAGTTGGGTCCATGTTTTACTTGTGAAAACGTTGTTAAACAATTAAAATAAACATAAAATATTCAAACAGCAACTGTAAGTTTTACGTCTAGTGTGTATTATCAGGTAATTCCAATCAATAAATGCCATAATCAGGCCATTTGATGATCGTCAGTCAACCTTCCCATCTTAACCTTATAAGTCATGGCGGCTAAAAACTCCGAACATTGTGATATTCTCAACCAGTTTTATTACTTACGAGAGCTGAAAATGTATTGAAATGTTGTGATATAAATTGATTTGTGTGTGGTACACATTTATCAACCATCAGTGATCAATATTTTCCTTATTTTTTGTGTAATATTCCTTAATTAATTATTTATTTGCGTGATAGGCCGAATGAAAGGACTAGACCCACATTACATACCGTAACCCTATGTACCGTGTAAAAAAACCATGTAAAAAAAACCTACGAGATTTTAATTTTTCACATGCTTAAATGTTTTAAAAAAATCGGATTTTGATGCCATTTGAAATTATAGCATGCTATGGTCCATATAGACATATTTAAAAAATTTCTGTATTTACACCAAAAAAAGTGATGCCATTCGATTACCTATAGCTTGAAACGGATAATGTGATTGGAATCAAGTCGATAGGTTGTATCGTTGTCGAGAAATTGTTAAAAACGTAAGGTGTTAATCGCGAAAAACCGTGTAAAAAACCGCGTAAATAAAAAAAGACTTCAGTGTACTCGCTGTTGATGGTTTTTCCTTTTTCGAGGTAGTCCACGAAGGGTATGCCATGACAATCCCAGAAAACCGACGCCATAACCTTTCTGACCCATCGAGTCTTCCTCGGCCGCTTCGGAGCACTCGTGCCGGCTTCAGTCCATTGCCGGGCACTCATGCTGATTTCTGGGGTGTAATAGTGGATCCATGTTTAATCAACAGTTACCAATCAACGCCAAAAGTCCCCCCGATTCACATCAGCAAGTCCAAACACTCTTTCGAAGTACTCTCGCGTTCGTGTTTTTGATCAGGAGTAAGCTTGCTCGGCACCCAGCGGTAGGATAACTTTTTCATATGCAGAATCTCACCCAAAATATGGCGTGTGCGCTCAGTACTAATCTTTGCGGTATCTGCTAGCTCGCGCACCTTCATTTTCCGGTCAGCCAACACCATTTCATGTATTTTTTGACATTGTCCTCTGCAACCGCATCGAAGGGTCGCCGCTGTGGATTTGATCGGCAGTGGAGTTGCGACCACCACGAAATTTTCGAAACCAATATTTGACGGTGTAATCTGACGGAGCATTAACCCCATAATATTTATCCAAATGTTCTTTTGTTTCCTTCGCCGTTTTGCCTCTCAAAAAATAATGTTTTATGAGAGAACAAAAATTGTTTTTATCCATACTCAACATGATGCCAAACACGTCAACAACAATCAGCTGTCAAAACAAAACTAAAGACAGTATCGTACTGAAATTTGGCATGTCTGCCTAAATAGGACCGGACTACAAGGCACCATAACCTTTTTTTGCAGTAGCAGCGCATTCTGGCGGTCAAGGAGGCTACTTTTCACCCCACTAGTATTTGCGCAAAATCTATATTCTAGCCTTGCATTGAATTAATTTTGGTAAAGAATGATAAAATTTAAATTTAAGATAATAAGGAACAATAAGGGAATCACTAGTGCCAAAAACTGGCACACTTAACGTATCTTGCCGATGTATGCAATCCACCCTCTCAGAAATTTTTGGATGACAAATGGCCACCTTTACCACTAGCGGATTACGGTGCTGGCGAGGCATCATGTTACTGTGTATTATTCTGAAAGTTATGTGCAAAGTTTTCCTAATTCGGATACAGGAGATGATTAACGCGACTATTCAACGACAGCAGGCAGGATCAGTGTTGGCAAAATCAGAAATCAATTGATATTTTTCCGCTCTCATGTGTTCGCAATATCACGCGTGATATTGGAACAAAATATCATGCTTGATATTGATTTTACAAGCTCCTTTGATATTGCGAGACTATTCACAACGTGTAAAAAACAAGTTGAAAGTTGACTCGACATAAAAATGATTCCATTGCACATCGTTTTCTTAGAAAGAGAAAGTATATTATGCTATCTCTTTTTACTCTCCACCGATGGAAGAAACGAAGTGACTGCTGCCAGCCGTTATGGAAGTTTCAGTTACATTCAGGTGTAAAGCAAAAATCATGAAACTCAATCGCACCACAGTTTGGTGAGATGTGCAGCTGGTGAGTTTTGTTAGCTTGATATTCCAAACTGCGATATCACAGCTTGCTAAATCAACCGCAGTAGTTTGCTTGTTGATTTTTGTCTACGAAAATCAAGCGTGATCTTGGGCGTTGGTGAGATTTGATTTTTTGATATTTTCCCAACACTGGGCAGGATTCCGTACTAGAAGATCTTGTGTGCACCATATTGCCGCTCCGTATAATCCTGCAGCAGGTCAACGAATTCCAAGGGTCCCTCTATTTGGTATTCATTGACTACCAAAAAGCTTTCGACTGTTTCTGTCACGAAAATCTAAAGCGCGCGCTGAGACGCAGAGTGGCGGATAAAATCGTAAACCTCATCGAAGCGCAGTATGAGGCTTTCACATGCATAACGGAGCCTTGGCTGACCTTATCCGGGTAGCCGTAGGTGTGAGGCAAGGATATATATCGTAATCGACGAGATCATGGTAGGTGCAATTGACCGTGTACCGAACCGTGGCCTGCTTTGATAGCCTATCACCATGGAGCACCTCAACGACTTCGATTTGGCTGATGATGTTGTGGAATTAGCACAACGGCGCTCTGATATGCAGAGTAAGCTCAACGACCTAACCGAATGCTCCTCTGCAACGGTTCACACCATCAACGTCAACAAGATCAAATCGTTGGATGACAACACGGACAACCCATCCTACTTTACGGTAGCAGGGCAAGCAGTGGAGAAAGTCGAAGGTTTTCAATATCTTGGCAGCCAGATAACGTCAGACGGCGGAATCAAGAGGTGCATGAATCAACAAGGTTAGGGTTACTTTTGTGAGTTTACGAAATATTTGGAAGCACAAACCAGAATACGACTTTTCAACTCGAATGTGAAATCTATGCTGATACATGACAGCGAAACATGGTGTGTATCAGTGGAGAACACCCAGAAAGGGCAAGTATTATTGATGTATGAACATGGTCCGAAATTTACACTTACCTGAAATGTAAGGAAGCTAGTAGTACAACGTTTATTTATTCGATTTATATACTGCTGTGTATCAATTTATATGTATTGTTGAGACTTTGGGAAAAGAAAAGTTATCAGAAGTCCTTACAGTTACAAGTCCATCATGACATGGGTAAAAATTGATGCGAACCATATTTTTAGGTAAAGAATTTCGGATAAAAAAAATGTAACCAAACGCCATTATGTATTGAATAAAACAAGAGAACCAACGATACTGCTTCTTTAATAAGCACAAGTTTTTGATGCTGCACAAGTTTTGTTATTTTCCACTTTTTTTTTTTCTTTTATCACCAGTGCTCAACGAAAGAATTTTCTTGCTTCAATTTTTTTTTTCATATGAACACAAACAAAACCAGGCATAATTGTTTATCGTAAATTAGCCGCTCCAGCGCTTCTATATACAGTATGGGAGAAAAATTTCATTGAATTAGTCCAGAGCACTATCTTTATTTCTTCGGCTGTTCTTGCAGCCACTTCGTCACCGTTGCTTCCCGTAGCTCGATTTTCCAGTAAATTCATCATCGCAATAAAAAATAATAATTCACAGATAAATAAGCATACACAGAAACAATGAACTACCACAGAAAGATATTCATCCTTCTTTATTTTAAGACTCTTCACTGCTTGAGTTCAGCACTGCTTTCGCAGGAGACCTACTGGTAGCGTCCTCTATACTACTCACACTATCGGACCCAACCGGCCCTTGACCGAGCACGGGGTTGGAGGAACTAGGTTCTAGACTGCTATTTACAACGGCAACGGTGCTTTCGAGCTTACTGCTGCCGGAATTTGCGTCACCAGCCTGCTGATGGGCAACGTTTTCAATGTTGTAGATTTTGTCAGCGTCAGTAGAATCGCTGACGGAATCTATGTTGCTGTCCAGCTCCTGATGTTCCTCTTGCTGGCGCTGTTGTTGCTGCTGCTGATGCTGCGTAAGTACTGCCTCGGGAAAGATGAAGTTGTTTGCTTCGTAATTGCGCTGGTAGTTTAATCGAGGATCGACGGCCGATGACGCTGCAATGATTTCGGCACTCAATGGCTGTGCAGTTGCATTGCTGGAATTGACGGGGATCGATCCCGCGCCAGTGGATACCGGACCCGGACGAATGATTGTTGGTGATCGACCAACGATTCTGATCCTTAGGGGATGGTTCCTATTGTTCTGAACGTTGCCAAAACCGAACCGAAGTCGCTGGGCAAACAAGTTGTTGTTGTTGTTGAGGTTCATGTTACCTAGCAGTTCCATACCCGCGGAAACGTTGGCTCGTAGACTTTGAACCAAACTGTGTGCGATGTTCCGCAGAGCTGCTGGAACACCATTGGCGAAAGCCGGTGTACCATTGTTGTTGTTATTGTTCCCATTCATTGACAGTAACCCGTAGTATCTAGGTATGCTGATTAAGATATTTCGATTGTTGTTGTTGTTATCGTTGTTCCGACGTTGGAATCGAATGGCATTGATTATTCCGTCCAGCACAGTAGCTCGCTGCTGCTGTTGCTGTTGTTGCTGAGACCCATTTTGGGCAGCTGCCGCTGGTTGACCAGCTGCCTGTTGTTGTTGAGGTTGAGGTTGCTGCTGTGGTGGTGGTTGCTGTCTGTTGCTAGCAGCTGGAGGTGGATTGGGAACCTGACCGTCACGTGTTTGAAGGATAATTTGCTGCAGTTGAGCTTGCTGGATTATCACCGGCAGCTCATAATGGTGGAAGAAGTAGATCATCGAATGCTGGAAAATGGAATATGAAAAAAACAGTATTATAAAGAAAATCGATTCAGAAATTCAAGCAGCTATACTGCCTATAATCGCATATCACTCCCATATGGATTTTCGTTTATTTCACGATAACAACGTTTTCCACTATCGATTGGCATCTACTTTCATATTACGTGATAAAATTTCGTACTTTGATATTGAAAACACCATCAAGTCAGTTTATCCCATCACGCAAAGTAATTGCTTATCAGTCCTATTCTTAAATTCAATCGTCCAGAGGTGAAGTTACATGTTCTGATTTTCGAGTTGCCATATTTTTCGATGATATAACAAACATGCAAGCGTCAATGCAACTGATTTCAACTGGAAAAAAATATTAATTTAAATTTAATTACTATGATTTTTCAAATGATTACATGGCATTCGCACTTCGTAACTTCGACTTCGGTTATGGGCAGTATATATCATTTAAGGACCACACACATAAAAATTAAGAGTGCTTTAAATGTTACTTATTTATTTATCTGTGTAAAGTGTATAAAAATCTAATTTAAAAAAATGTATTGCGAAATCTGACTCTTCTTACTAATCTCGGCGAAAATCTCGATTCCAGATTCAAGAATTGTAGGTATGCAGAATAATGCATTGTAGGTATGCAGAATAATCCTGTGACACCCCAAATCTATCTAGGATTGACCAATGCATTCGGATTCGGGTGGCCAATAAGAAGAAGACCAACTTCTCTCGATTCGGATTCTGTAATCTGCTATCGAAAGAAGACTATTTGATTCATAAAATCCCACAAAAAGAATTCTCAAAACCAACTCCATTACTGCGATACAGGTAATAGAGTTGGTCACCCGCCATTTTGTGTGAAAAGCAGTCATATATTTGAAACTTTATTTCTCTAAACTGAAACAACTTAAAGGGTGATACGGTCAAAATTTGGTCAAGGGAAAACGCGTGTAAATCGGTGAAATCGTTTATTTAAAAAATCAAATTAAATTTCTTTTTCAAGTTCAATTAGTATAAAATTCAGGAAAAATATTCAGTAAGGCTTCCGTTTTTCCAAATCCGAATTGCCGGGCCTTACGCTTGACCCCTGCCATCAGATTTTGTACAGCCACCTTGTCCACCTTCTTCGCCGCAGAAAGCCAGTTTGCCTTGAACTGCTGCTCGCCCTTAGCAGTTTTTTTGGTCTTCTTTAGGTTCCGCTTGACAATAGCCCAGTATTTCTCAATTGGGCGGAGCTCTGGCGTGTTGGGAGGGTTCTTGTCCTTGGGAACCACCTGCACGTTGTTGGCGGCGTACCACTCCATGGCCTTTTTACCGTAATGGCAAGATGCCAAATCCGGCCAAAACAGTACGGAACAACCGTGTTTCTTCAGGAAAGGCAGCAGACGTTTATTCAAACACTCTTTCACGTAAATTTCTTGGTTGACAGTCCCGGAAGCTATGAAAATGCTGCTTTTCAAGCCACAGGTACAGATGGCTTGCCAAACCAGATATTTCTTTGCGAACTTTGACAGTTTCATGTGCTTGAAAACATCTGCTACCTTTCCCCTTCCTTTTGCCGTATAAAACTCCTGTCCCGGAAGCTGCTTGTAGTCGGCTTTGACGTAGGTTTCGTCGTCCATTACCACGCAGTCAAACTTCGTCAGTATCGTCGTGTACAGCCTCCGGGATCGCGCTTTGGCCGTCGTATTTTGTTTATCATCGCGATTTGGAGTCACTACCTTCTTGTAAGTCGATAGTCCGGCTCGTTTTTTGGCTCGATGCACGGTTGTAGACGATACACCCAGCTTATTTGCGGCATCTCGGAGAGAGAGGTTAGGGTTTCGCTTGAAACTACCGGCAACTCTCTTTGTCGTCTCAGCGGCTTCTGGTTTTCGATTTCCCCCCGATCCAGACTTCCTGGCTGTCGACAAACGTTCCCCAAATACTTTAATTACATTTGTAACGGTTGATTTGGCAACTTTTAGCGATTTTGCCAACTTTGCGTGCGAGTAGCTCGGATTTTCGCGATGCGCGAGCAAAATTTTGATACGCTGCTCTTCTTGCTTGGACGGCATTTTCACAACTGAAGAGTGAATTCCAAAATCAAAATAGGAGCAACATTCTACACACACACACCTTCAAAATGAGGGGTGTTCAGGTTTTTTAAATGCAAAATTGAAAGAAATACGTCAAGTTGATATTGACCAAATTTTGACCGTATCACCCTTTAGTGCTTAGGAATAAGATGTACAAGGTGGCCAGTGAATTTTCATTTTGAAATTCCCGGTTTTTCCCGGTTTTCCCGGTTCAAATCTTTAAAAATTCCCGGTTGTTAATATTCAACAAAAAAAAAACGAAATTGATAGCATTTTTTAGAACGTGCTGAAAGGAATTTACTGAAGGGATAAATATATGATTTTAGAAGATTCCCAACATTGTGGGGCTTTTGAATTTGTGTAGAGTCTGAAATTAGAACTTTTTTTTTTAATCTGTGATAAATAATAACCTTCTTGATGCAAGATTTGGAGAAAAAATTATTAAAATTTTAGATTTTGATAAATTTTCAAGATCACAGATTTGAAAAAAAAAGAATATCATACTTATGAGTCGTGGAGTCATAATTGCTAAGGGCATTTTAAGAGTTATAACAAATTACAGGACAATCTATTGAATCTAGTGGACAAACCCTGGAGTTTTTAGTTAAATTTAAAAGAATTCAAAGTGTTGATTTCGAACAAATATTGAGAAGGATTCCCACACAGCTTTCGAATGAGAAGTTCTGAGCAGAATACCAGAATTATTCTGACATGAAATCCTTAGAAATTTTTAGATGAATTTGGAGGGATTTCTGTGGAGAAGAATGCAAGTTCTAAATTAAATTTTTATGCAATTTTAGAAGATTTAAAAAGGAGTTGGGAAAAACAAAACTTTGCGAAAAATTCTTACGTGATTCTGAGGAGAATTGTATGGGGATCGTGAGGAAAATGACAGATAAATTTTAAGAAGTAGTTCAAGAGAATTATAACATAATTCAACAAGAAACAGAGTTCTTAGAGTGTTCTGGCAATAACTTCAACCCTAATGCGCAGGCCAGTGACAAGGCCTATACCACCAGCAGCGTTTGACAGTAGGCAGCATGTCCCGGGCTCAAATAATTTATTTTGCTGTGCTGGGCCCGTTGACACCGTATAACATGTTACCTACGCGCCTGCCACTGGGCTGCTAATGCGAAAGATTCAGCACAGAACTTCAACAAAATTGATTGCAAAAGTTTGCTGATAATTAGAAAGAAATACTTTAAAATACTTCCAAGGGTTTCTAAATAAAATTTAGAAAGATTTCTGCTGTTTTGAATAGGCCTTTTTAATGCACCACCAATGTAGAGTGCGCCAAGCGAATTCGAGAGGAAACGTCAGCCAAACCATTTGTTTACATCAGAATGAGGATTTTTCACAACGCAAATTAGAGCATTTTTCAATCAACATCTTGCCAATTTTCATCAGTAATTGCCATATTTTACGATTTTTCACAGATCTGAACAGATTTGCACCAGAACTATTCACACAGCACAGCAGATAACCACTAAGGCACTTTTATAATTTTCCATTTTTCTCACCAAAAATATTCCTGAACACTAGCAGGAGCCTTGCAAAAACGATTTAGAATTAAATTTTTCAACTGTAAATCAAGTTTTGGAGCATCTCAGATGAATCAATTTCTCAGGAAAAGTAAACAAAGTGTTCCGCTTCCTATGTCTCACGCCAAACATTTCAGCTCAAAACACTCTTTTTGACGTTCTCCTATTTACCACCAGAGGTTGAATCGATCGTTTAGTTTCTATTAAAAAGGCGTATTCTAAGAAGGATTCCTTAAATTTTTAGAAAGGGTTGCAAGGAAATTCCAAAAAGAATTCAACGGTAATTATTAATGCTAATGGTGGTTTCGACTGGTTGATTGGAATCACTTTAGCAATCAACATAAACCTAGATTTTTTCCTCGAGATGGTTAATTTCTGTATCGACAGTTGCTATTTCCAGTTTCGCAACAAATACTACCAACAAACAATTTGGAACAGCTATGGGCAGTCCTCTTTCTCCAATTCTGGCAGAATTGGTAATGGAAATCCTCCTAAGGACTGTCACCAAGAAACTAAACTTCCCAGTTCCAGTTCTCAAAAAATACGTGGATGATCTCATCCTGGCACTACCAAAGGAGCAAATCGAATATACACAGAACATTTTCAACGAATACAACCAACATCTACAGTTCACTGTCGAAAAGGAGGATCAATGCCGACTACCTTTCTTGGACACTCTAGTCATTCGGAACACGGACCAAACCATATCCACCCAGTGGTATTCAAAACCAATCTCATCAGGTCGGCTATTGAATTACCACTCGTTTCACCCCACTAGTATGAAGATAAACGTCGCTGATAATTTCGTAAAACGAGTCACATCTCTAACCAAAATCACCACCAACCAAAATCATCAACAACAATACAACATAATTCTTCAACAACTACGTCGGAACAACTATCCATCATCACTTATTAACAGAATGATAAGTCGAGCAAAATCAACTACCCCACAACATCAACACCACCACCAGATTGTTTCACAGCAAAACCAAACAAACAATCCAACACCGTCTGATGAAATTCCAGCAGCAAACCAATAACACCATCTACAGTTCAGAAGCATCCCGTACATCGCTCATCTCAGCCCCACAATAACCAGCCTCCTCAAGAATGATTACCCACAGGTAAAAGTCGCCTATAGAACACTAAAAAACACTAAAAACATACTTAGACCGGTCAAAAATCCAATTAATGATCTCGACCAACGCAACGTTATCTATAGCTTAGCCTGTATAGACTGCCAGAAAACGTACATTGGGATGACGAGAAACCAACTCAAAACAAGAATCAGTGGACATCGAAGCAATATAAACCAATACACAAAACTAATCCAAAACAACCACACGAACACAGATGAAGAGATACATAACCTAAA